TATAGACATATAGACATATAGACATATAGACATATAGACATATAGACATATAGACATATAGTCATATAGACCTATAGACCTATATATAATACTCAGACTTATAGCAGATATCTAAGAGCAACATACAACTTATATGGTACGAACTTTACGCTCTAAGAACATTTGACTTAACTTTCCCTTTGACTGTATCAACTATTCAAGAAACCAAATATGATAACTTCAGCTTCAACAGTTCCCAAGCTACTTGGAATATCTATGAGCTGAGACAATCTAAAAATACTTTTCCAACATTTCTTAGACTCTTAAAGAGCAGCTGCTGGCATGCATCTAAGTAGATGCAAAATGTTTTCATATTCGGCATTTTTTAAAGAAATTAATAAAGTTGTTTTTATTATATTTAACCTTTTCAGCATTACCGTCGTATTCCTTTAATGATTTTCGATTTATTTTCAATGTGCATGATATACGTAAGCCACATACCAAGTTTGATAGGTCTAGTGCTTATAGGGCCCGAGTTACTAGAGGTCATTAAAGTGTTTAGGCGAGATAAAAACATTTTGTAAATATTCTTATGCAGAGCATGATAACAGTATATTGAAAAGTTTTCATTCTGTATATATTCGTATAGAAAATTTCTCTATACAAGTGTTATTTAGTTTCTCTTTAAGAATATAATATGATATACTGTATATACATATATTTGTACAAGATATTTATAAGTAAGTTCAAGTCTTATTCATATGATTGGATCTTTGCATGAAAATGTTCTTGAAGAACTGAGCTAAAGCAGAAGAGCTGAACATTTGAACTAGTTATACATATGTAAGTCTATATTTATATGAATATATGAACAGACCTAGTTTTACAGCTGAGATAGAGCTCCGATTTGTTGCACGCACAACAAATTTACGAGTGGACATTCATATCTTAAGTGTTGCCTATGCTAATAAATTATGGAATTAAGATAGCTTTATGAGCGAACTAGTTCACAATGAGCTGGCATATATATACATGTGTATGTGTGCGTGTGTGTGTGTGCAGCATGTTGCCACTTGCCATGTGGCAGCTCTCTGATTGCAACACCTAGCCGAAAACGTTTTTTTTTTCTTCTTCTTCTTCTTGCGACTTTTGCATATTTGCATATGCGAAGATTAAATGCTAACAATGCAGAAGAAGCAGCCAATGAAAGAGAGTGAGGGAGAGAGAGAGGGAGAGGGAGAAGCAACTGCAGAAGTAAACATTAAAAATATATATAGCGAAGCGCTTGAGCGATTCGCTGAGTGGCTGCCGCATTTGGTTTGCTTAGCTGGTCGCCCAATTACGTAACCCAAGTCCAACTTGGACTAGACTAACTGTACCATGAGTGTGTCTATCCATATGCATGTGTCTGTGTATGTGTGTCTGTGTGTGTGTGTGGCAACCTGTGCTTAGAGCTAGAGAGAGAGAAACAAATGCTTTGAGCACGGACATCCGACGATGTCTGCGTCCAACTTGGATTCGCTGCACATTTTTTACTGAATGAAAAACAAGAAGCAAAACAACAACAACAACAAAACGAAAACAACAACAACAACAGAGTTGTTTATTTCTTTGGCATGCCCTAAGACTTGAAAGGTATCACGACTTCTGTGTGATCTATGCGAATCTCATTAACATATCCAAAGAGGTGGAGAGAAGGAATGAGGGGTGAGAGAGAGAGGGGGAGTTTGAGGAAGAAAATAAAGAGAGTGGAGAAAGCTTTTTGCTCCACCAGATGCAATTAGTCTCATTCTCTGATTTAATTTCCTTGCTCTCTCTCGCTCTCTCTCTCTCTCTCTCTCTCTCTCTCTCTCTCTCTCACTCTATTTATCTCTCACTCTCCGTTTCGATTTCTAGCTATATGTGGTTGCATTCTCTCTGCACTGTCTCTGTCTTTCCCTCTTTCCCCCAACGCTTTATGCTGTTCGCTTCACTCTCCCTCCTGCACTCGATCTCTTTCTTTACTTCTAAAAATCTTTCTTTCTCTTTATGTTCCGCTCTCTTTTCCTCCTCTCTCTCTAGATTTCCTTCTATACTTGTGCCTTTTCTCTGACTCTAGATTTTGATCCCCCTCTCTTTTTCGATTCTTCATTTTCTCACTCTCTTTCTCTCCGTGTCTTTATCTCATGGTCACTCTCTATCTTTCCCTCCATCACCAACTCTCCGTATGATGAATACCCTTGCCCATGACTCTCTTGCCCTACATGTTTATTTTTCTCTATCTTCTCTCTCTCTCTCTCTCTTTCACTCTCTCTACCAATGTCTCTTACTATCTATCTCTATCACAATATCTTTCTATCTGCATATTTTTCTTCTCCCCATGCTCCTTTCCCTATCTTGATCTTTCTGTATCTCTATCTATTAGTTTCTCACTCTCACTCTCTCACTCTCTCTCTCACTCAATCACTCTCTCTCTCTCTCTCTCTGTCGGTTTCTTTCTCTATATCCTCTTTCTCTTTCTTTCTCTCTATCTCTCTCTGTATTTATCTCTCCCTCCCTCATTCCCATACCTTTCGTCTTCTCTCTCATTCTCTATATACTTCTCTTTGCTTAGCTCTCTTTGGGTTTCTCACCATTTCTCGTTCTCTCTCTCTTTCTCTCTGCCTCTCTCTCCCTCCCTCTCCCTCTCTCTCTCGCTCTCCCTCTCTCTCTCCCTCTCTTTCTCCCTCTCTGTCTTAAGCATAGAGTATTTTCCATTCGTCTACCATCAATCAATTATTTCTTCTTGTTTTTTTATTGTCCGACACTTGAGTTACTGCGAGCTGCTGACGCTGCTGCTGCTGCCGCTGCTGCTGCCTATGCTGACTGCTGACTGCTGCTTGGTGATGCTGGCTGCAGCAGCAGCAGCAGCAGCAGCAGCAATCGCTGGACCATTAAAGGTCGCTTATATAATTTATCTGCAGTCCCAGCCACAATCGCACTCGCAGTCGCAGTCGCAGTGGCCGAAACGAGATCTCGCTCCAAAGCTGAGGCTGAAATTGAAGTTTTGCATTTGCTGCCTCGGAGGAGGTTGGAGGCTGACAATTCGGCCAACTTAAATTTGCAATTGGCCTTTTTTCTTCATTTTGTTGCTGTTGTTGTTGTTGTTGCTGGTTGCAGTCTCGGTTTCGGTTTCGGTTTCAGTTTGATCGAAACTATTTAAATGATCCTCTGTAATAGTCAGACAGGCAATACCCACCTACTACCCGCCCTCCAGCCTCTGCTGTCCCGCTCATCGAGCGTTTATCTTTATCATTTGTGCATATATCCGCATTGCATCAGCTGGGCGAACTGCCAGACAGTCAGCCAAGCAATTCATAAATAACAACAACAACAACAACAACAACAACAATTAAACAAACAAACAGCACGAGACGCTTGGTGGGTGGTGCAGGTTGAGAGGCGCCGCCTGGGCAGGGATGGGGCAGTGGAGCTTTAATTGAATTTATGTTGCATACAAATCTCTGTGGGCGCACTACAAATGGGGTGTACGGAGTCTAATGTGGCACGGAACTAGCCAAGCGGGGGCTGTATACCGTTGCAATCGGACAGTCCATCACTCTGTCAGTTGGCTGTCAATCAATCGGCTTACCAGATAGTTCGTCAGTCTTTCAATTAGTTGTCAATCAATTAGTTGGCTAGTTAGTTAGTCACATAATCAATCAATCTGCCGAACATTGTCAATCAGTTAATCAATTACTCAATCAGACAAGCATTGTCAACGTCCGTCAATCAACAGACGATTAGCCAGTCAACTAGTGAATTAATCACTAGACAATCAGACATGATCAATTTCAATGGCAGTCAGTCAATCGATCTGTGAATCACTTAGGCAGGGAAACATTCTCCATCAATCATTAGACAATCAGACAATGTCTATGTCAATAATAGCCAGGCAATCAATCAGTGAAACGATCAATCATAAGACAGTTAAGCAATGTCATTCTGTCAATCAATCAATCAATCATTGGACAATCAGACAATGTCCATGTCAATAACAGCCAAGCAATCAATCAGTGAATCGATCAATCATAAGTTAAACAATGTCATTCTGTCCATCAATCAATCAATCAATCATTAGGCAATCAGACAATGTCCATATCAATAACAGCCAAGCAATCAATCAGTGAATCAATCAATCATAAGTTAAACAATGTCATTCTGTCAATCAATCAATCAATCAATCATTAGACAATCAGACAATGTTAATCAATCAGTGAATCGATCAATCATAAGACAATGTCATTCTGTAAATCAATCAATCATTAGACAATCAGACAATGTTAATCAATCAGTGAATCGATCAATCATAAGACAGTTAAACAATGCCATTCAGTCAATCAATCAGACAAAGTCAATGTCAATAATAGCCAGGCAATCAATCAAAGAATCAGACAGTAAAAATGATCGATCAATCATAAGACAGTTAAACAATGTCAGTCAGACAATCAATCAGTCAATCAGTGAATCACTTAGACAGCTAAGCATGCTCTATTAATCACTAGACAATCAGACAATGTCAATGTAAGTCAATCAATCACTCAATCAATAAGTCAATCAGATAGCTGCTCATCAATCAGTCCATCGATCCGTCAATCTACATACAAATAGTCAAACTCAAACTCAGTCAATCGCTCAATCAATCAGTATACAGCTTAACAATTTTCGTATCAATCAGTTTCATCACCTCAACAATCAGTCAATCAATCTCTTTACAGGGTATTTCGACAGTCAAGCAGCCTGTCTTCTAATGCAATTTAAACATGCTTCGATTTGTGCATTGCTTCTCTTTCTCTCTCTATCTCTAAATCTATCTCTGTCTCCCTCTCTCTCTCTCTCTCCTTCTCTCTCTCTTTCTCTCTCTCTCTTTCGTTTCGTTCATCGTCTACAATCGCGATTGCGCAGTTTCCTCCCGCATTCTCCTGCACCACCCCCCACTTCTCCTTATGTGCTCTCCCTCCCTCGCTCCATAGATCGATGACATGTGATCGTTATTTATGCCAACGCTGACACGCCCCATTGGCTGTGCCACCGCCCCCATTTACAGATTTCATTAGATGCGATTGCACATGCCACTCATTGAGCTAATTGTGGTATCAATTATGGCTCCGCTAAGTGGCTAAGCGCGCGACTCAGCCGCTGTCAACTGACTTGGGGCTTGCCCAACCCCAAGTCGACCTCTCTTTTCTTCCCCCCCCCCCCCTTCCTCCGCTGAGTTTTCTCATTCCCCTCCGGCTTGCCGGACGACCTCATTTTTCAACTTTGGCAAATATTTGTCATCAAAAGCGATTGAAAGATTTCTTTGTTGAGTAATGCGCATGCTTGGAGATTTCTGTGTAGACTTATGACTTATGTAGACTTGTGTAGAGTGTAGAGATTTGTGTGCATACTGTGCTTGGCATCTAAGTATAATTTTAATTGTTGTCATTGCTTAGATATTTGTTGTATGGAGTCGGATGTAGATATGTCTACATATGTAGAGTTGTTTACAGTTTCGTTAAGTGGGAGTATGATGAGCTTTGCAAAGCTGCGTCGAGTCTTATTAACTTTTCTTTAACTACTTATATTTGTATATTTCAATATGTTTATGTAGAATTGTGTAGAGTTGTGTTGAAATGTCCTGAGTAATGTAGACTTATGTATACCTATGCACAATAAGGTCTAGTTGGATAAAGTTGTGTGGAGCTATGTAGAGTTTTGTCGAGTTGTATATGTGTAGAATTTAATATGTGCATATACATTGAGTAGTGTAGAGTTGTGCTGAGCTATACTGAATGTTGAGCTATACTGAGTAACGTAGAGTTGTCTATGGCTATGCAGATTGAGATATTGCTATGTAGAGTTGTGTATAGTCATGTAAAATTGTTTAAAAATTGTCAAAAAGACTTGTGTAGAGTTACATGAAGCAATGTAGCATTGTGTAGAGTTGTGTAGAATTACATAGAATTGTTTTGAATCGTATAGATCTTGGAATTTAGACAAATTTATCCAAATTATATAATTGATTGAACTATATTGAGCTATGTAGAGTTTTGTGGAGCTGTACACACTTATGTAGAGTTTTATAAAACTAGCTAAGAATACCTAAACATAAATATTAAACACATGTGCTGAGTCATGTAAAGCTGTGTAGAGTCCTACTGTGTGTAGAGCTGTGTAGAGTTGTGTAGAGTTATGATGAACAATGTACAGTCGTTAAGCTGGGATGCTATTAGGCTAGCTACATATGTTGAGCATTGCACAATTATATGGTCAAGTGGAGAGTGTTTGTAGAGTTGTGTAGAGTTATGAATGTAGAGCACATGCAGATGCATGCCAATGGATTGATTTGCTGTGCAGCAACCCAAGCAGTGACAACTTTTCTTTCCGATTTGCGGCACAGCTCCAACTGTGTAGAGTTTTTTTGTTTTTTTTTTTTTTTTTCTGCTTTTGCTTTTGTGGCACAACAAGCTGTGAGCTGCACTTATTAAATTTCTGCATATACATATGCAAAGAGACCCCCCCAAGAGCTGCTGTTGCAGTTGTTGTTGTTGTTGTTGTTGTTGTTGTTGTTGATTTTTAATGATTCGCTAACGTGGGAAATTTGTGCAGCTTTGAAACATTTTCTTTTGCATTAGCATTTTGCCATTGTTGTTGCTATTGCTGTTGTTGTTGTTGTTTATTGTTGCTTGTAGCAGCTTGTTATTTCTAATTTTTACACTACGAGTTTTTCTATTTTTCTATCATTTTTTGTTTTCCACAATATTACACGTTATCCGCCGTTGGCGCCTTTGTGCCACGTTAATCACATAATTAAATCAAACTTTCTATGATTTCCGCAACGAGCTGCGATAAGGGTGAACGGGAGTGGGGTGGGGCTGGTGGAGGGTATGGGGCGGAGTGGCTAAGTGTTGAGACAGGGATCCAATAAATTATGCACAGCGAAAGGGATCAATTCACATGACACTCAGATAACGAGAGAGTGAGACAGAGAGAGAGAGAGAGTGGGAGAGAGAGAGTGAGAGCGGTAGAGCTGCATTTAGATACAAAACATTCGGCTTCCGCTTGTGCTTCAATTCAAAGTGCTCGACTAACTAATGCCCTGTACAGTAAATGATATTATATACTGAATCGTTCCTCGCGTCGTATACGTAATATTCATGAATCACACAGATAGAGACAGCTTCGACAACGACATCGGCTCAATGCCAATCCTCAAATCTCTCAATCAATGACGAATCATTAGCTATACGTACGACCTGGGGCTCTCGATGCGATCACTCAATTATCATATCGTAATTGTGATCCAAAACGATCAATGAGTAAGCATATATGGATATATACAAATAAGTCTATAAATAGAGGCAGTACGCCTGAAAAAAAGAGTTTCGAGAGCACGGGAACAAATTGGAATTTATACCACGTATCGCCTGCTTCCGGGATTCCTATATGGCATCCACTGTATAATATGATTCACTACTATTTAGACTCTGTTGTCTCTCTCGTAACTCAATCTAAATGCCATCTCAAGCTTTCCAAGCAAATTATCTATTGAACTTTTTTTTTCTCCGCTCTCCCTTAGTTTTTTCTCAGCCAAGGCTAAACAAACTTTCGCTATTCATCTAGTATGCTTTCTAGGATTATATACGTATACCATCTCTTAGCTCAAAATTGTATTGCCTTTGTATAGTATCTTCTTTTTCTTACTTATAATAGTCGGACTATTGTTTTATATAGGATATTTACTCTACCTCTACCTCTCCCTCCTCTCTATCTTTCTATTTCTCTCGCTCTCTGCCTCTCTCCCATCTATATCTCTCTCTCTCTCTCTCTATCTTCCTATCTCTCTCGCTCTCTCCCATCTAACTCTCTCCTTCTATCTCTATCGTTCTCTGTATCTCACCCATCTAAATCTCTCTCTCCCTCTCTCTAGCTCTAGCTCTCTCTATATCTCACTATCTCTCCCTCTAACTTTCTCTATTTCTCTAGCTCGCTTAATGTCACTCTCTCTCCCTCTTACTCTCTTTCTATCTCTCTCACTCTCGCTCGCACTTTACCCGCCTATGCATATCATCTTATTTCACTGAAGTCTTTCCTTTCTTATTCTTGTATAATTGATCTCATCAACTTTCAGTTGAACGTTGTCTCTTCTTATCGCCCTCCCTTTGCCTCTTTCCTTCTCTTCATTTCTCTCTTTCTTACTCTCTATCTCTCTCACTCTCATTCTCTCTCTGTCTCTCTCTCTCTCTATCTCTCTCTCTCTCTCTCTCTCTCTCTCACTCTCTCTCACTCCCTCAACCCTGTTTGCTCTCATCTCATATCTCCGTTTTACTATATGAATCTTGGGAGCTTTACTTGACTTAAAATGTAACTTGTATTTTCATGCTCTCTTCCTCTCTCTCCCCCTCCGTTTTCTCATAATATTTTCTTATTCTAGATCTTCGGCCGGTCCCTTGACCCTTCCCTTTCCTATTTCATTATCCAAACCTCAAAGCGTTAGGTCTTTTCCCTTTACCCAAAGTCTTTCTCGCCTTGTATCTCTCCCTGCCTTTCTTATGATCTTCCCTTATTTTATATGATATATGGTATATTAGATATGACTTCTGTCATTCATTTTTATGGCACTCACCTTCTTTGGTTATAGCTTCTGTATCGCAATTGTTAGCAGTTGCCTCGTTGCTCTCGTCGTCGTCTTTGGGCTCGAATTCGACCTGCGAAGTATCAACGTCGTAGAAATTAACGCGGGTCACGTGACGCACATAGTCGGCGCTGTCGGTGGTGGTGCGATGCGGCTGGCGATGCCGACCAGCGCTCGGTCTCTCTCTTTCTCTTTCTCTCCCTCTCGCCCTCTCCCTATCTCCGTCTCTCTCTCGCTTCCTGTGATGGTTAGTAGTGTAGCTGGCAGGTGTCTGAGCCTCTGGCAGTGGTTGGCCTGTTGCTGGCTGCGCATAGATGCGTAACACCAGTGGTGCCGCCGAGTGGGCGTGGCTATAGCTGCGCGGCGGCTTTGGCACCACATTCGCAGCAATAGCAGCAGCGGCAGCAGCAGCAGCAGCAGCAGCAGGGGGCAGTGTGAAGGGCGAAGGCGAAGGTTGGCTATGACTATGACTAGGCCAGTGGTGCAACTGGGTGGTGCGATAAACGCTCGCCGGTATGGCCGTAATGCCAGTGGATGCGTTCGAGGATTGATTGCCATTGCTGTTGCTGTTGCTGCTGCTGCTGCTGCTGCTGCTTCGACTGCGGCTGCTGCAGCTCAAGCTGAGCTGATCGTGGCTGTGAGTGTTGTTGTTGGTGGTGTTGGTGGTGGTGTTGGTGGTGTTGGTGTTGATGCTGCTGCTGCTGCTTTGGCTGCATGTGCATGGCGCTAGTAGAAGGATCACCACCATTCGTTCATCTGGGAGCGCTCAAAGTGTCCAATTGACTACATTGATGCTGGCTGCGAGCACCAACAACTGCCACGCCTACTGCTCCCACTGCTCCCACTGCTGGTGCTGCTGCTGCTGCTGCTGCTGCTGCCGCCGCCGACGCCGCCACCGACGGTCGCAACTGCAACTGTTGCCTAATTAATGTTGTTGCCGCACTTTCGCTGCAACCAATTTGAATTTGTTGTGCCGCACAAAACATTTCAGCGACACGCGATCCACGAGCCACGATCCCCCCCGCCCCGTCCGTTCCACGTTCCGCGTTCTGCGTTCCGTATTCAATGTTCCACGTTCCACGATCTCCGCTCAAGTCTTTAATTGTTTATTGTTTCAATTGTGTATAAATTATTTGCTGAGCTGCAAGTGAAATTTTGTTGACGGCGACTTTGGCATGAAGACGACGCGAGCTTCAAGTTGGGCCAATCGATAGGCGAGACTAGCAGATACCCTGTAGTCTAGCAGCTATTGATTGGGCCAGAATTACGGTCTATTTTAGCAATAACACCTATCGAGCATAGCTATCGTCTAATTGTTATCGATTATACATCGATAACAACCATGACAATCGATAGACATTTCTTTTTCAGCTATTTTTAGTCACTTATTAGGCACATAGGACAGCATTAGAAGCAAATTCCCTATATGTGTCCAATAGAGATTAAACATAGCTAAATAAGGAATATTCCATATCGATATTTATTGAACGAGATGAGCTATCGATTAATAATACTCTACATTTTTATCCAATTTTACTATCTAATCCCTAAGCATTTCCTCAAAGTGGTACATTTAATAAATTTTATCGATAACACTCGAAAGTTATCGATAGGTAGAAGAACTAAGCTTGATTGTGGATTGTTTCTGAAGCTGTTTGATCAGTAAGATCAAAGGACTTAAGAGTTCAGCTGTGCGAACATAGATATCGCCTTTAACTATCGTTTCAAACTATCGTCGTTAAAGAGCAAATTTATTTTATACACAAAGAGTTGAACAGAAATCGATATTATATTGGGCCTTGGGAAGATATATATAGATAAAATTATATATCCATACATACACACTTGCCCAACTAATAGATACTCCTTGATTTAATAGTCACTCAATCAAAATATGATTTACTCAAATTGCTATGAAGAGCTCCGCAGTTTATTAGATGGGCTGGCCGTGGAGGCGTGGCACTTGAAGTATGCCAAGCGTAAAGGCTTAGAACAAAACGGGTCTTCCCGTTGCAGCATAGACAGACACACACACACACACACACACGTATACGGCTCATAAAGTTAAGAGCCCATAAACAAAGCAGCTGCTAGAGTGTGTGCGGGGGGGGAGGCACGGGCGAACAAGGTTTGTTAGCTTGATATTTGGTCAGTTGGTCTATTGCACAACAGCTCGCAAGAGCCACAAAAGGTTGCTCGAGTTCGCTGTTGAAAGGGCAACAGTTCAAGGCGGTGAAATGGAAAGCAGCCAAGAAAGAAATCCACTTAAACAGAAAAAAAAAACTATAAAAAAAAAGAGTCGAAATAAAAAAGTCAAATGTGGCCAAAGGTCACGCCCACAGACGACAATCCAAAAATACGAAATACGACACTAAAAAAAAAAAAAAAAAAAAAAAAAAAAAAAAAAAACAACAACAAAAGCTCAACAAGATTCACAGCCAAATGTTCGGGGCCCTTTGTCCAGTTGCCCATTTGGCCCATTGGCACTGATTAAAACGAACGACCCCACACGAAATGTGGGGCGGGGGCCAGTTGCCAGTTCACTTCATTATGCCCCCTTTCACCCAATGTGGTATAATTCAACCACAAGCGACTCCCCCTCAGCCGCCTTTTGCCCGTTTTCAAGTACGTGACCAAGAGTGGAGTCGGAGCATGCATAATGCAGATAATGCTGGCAAACGTAAAGCTTCCTCATACAGATATATGTATATCACAGAAAATAGTTGAGATGAAAGGAAATGTGGCTTAGTAACTGCAATGATCGACCGGGAAATGCCATAGGCAAAGGGGAAAAAAACAAAGGGATTTGAGCTAGAGAGAGTCTAGAGTAATCAAAACGAATTTTTCATTTTAAATCATGAAAATTGCCCAATATATAGCTGAGTTGTAAATGTTTGAAGATATGCAAAGAAGAACTGTGCACTTAAGGGTTAAGCTCTGACCAACTCTACAAAGTTCTTTTTATTATTGCCTACTATTAGCTTGCACTATGCCCAACCCAACCACCCCCCATGCTCACAGAGAGCAGCAGTAGCTGCTGCTGAGCGCAAGTCTTCACTTGTTTAGTGGTCCACAATATTGAAAAGCGAAATTGTCAACGCTGAATTATCACACTGAGCATTGCGACAGACAGATAAATTACATAAATGTTTTTAATTAAAAAAATAATAGTAAGAAGAAGAAAATTATAGCTTGCCGCTTAAGCATTGAGCAACTCTACAGAGTTAATACTTAATTGCTTGTCGCCTGCTTTGCATACGCTCTGAGCGCAAGTCTCCAATTGCTTGCATTACAATGCTTACCAACAGAATTGTCAATAACAAACTTGCGGCGAAAGAAATTTTTTTTTTCATTTTGTCTATTTTGTGAAAGCCAATAGCTTTATAAAAATGTATCTATATATATTTTTTTTAAAATCATATATAGAGATATATAAGTTGCTCTACAAAATTGTTCCCAGATTGTTTGTCGCCTGTCTTGCACTGTGCTCTATCGCACAGCACTTGCTGCTGCTGCTGGTGCTGCTGGCAGCAGCTAGTCTACACTTGCAAGTCTACACTCGCTCTCTCAGCATTTCTGATCGCCATTGTTGTTGTTGTTTGTTTCTTTTTTTCGTTTTCTTTTAATTTCAATTTATTTATTGTTGCTTTTGGCGTGCGAAACGATTCTTGAATCGATAAATACGCTTTTAACAATCAATTTGTGAGCTTTTGGCATTTGTTGTTGTTGTTGCTCATTCTGTATTGTTGTCTTTTGTATTGATATTCGCGCTGAGCGCTCGTTTTGATTTGGACTGTGGCAAGCGCGCACGCCTGGAAGCCACGTTGGAATCACTGGAATATTGATCATCAATATGCGCATGACGTCAGACCGACACAACAACAGCAGCAACAACAACAGCAACAATTAAATTGTGCTTGCAATTTGGCCATTTTTGTAATTACTTCCGCCGGCAACGATAGGACAAATTGGGAAACCTTTGGCATATACCCTGTGCGGCAAACATGTGGGGTATATTTATTTTGTAACAGAACTTTACATACTTATAAAGCCGAAAGCGAAGTTATCGAATCTACAAGCTATCAAAATTTATAGCTATCGAAGTTTAAAGTTATCGAACTTGGATACCCTGTACTTCAGGTATATGAAGGGAGCGCATCACATGGACTTGTAAGCGAAAATGCATATTACAGTCAGGAGAAGATTAATTACTGTAGTGGGTGACATGTAGTCGAGCATCTCCAGTACGCAAAGTTCTACTAAATGCTTTGGCATTGGCTTTGGCTCTGCTTTTGATTGATTTTTACGGTTTGTGGCGCTGCCATGGGACAGTAAATGTTGTTGATGGATACATATGTACGTACATACACACACACATAGATATATACAAATTTATTTATTTCTGCATATATGAGTCAGCAGCTGCCACGCCCTCAGCTCCAAGCCAAATGACAATTGCCCGAAAGGAAAACAAAAACCAAAAAGAATTGAAAAGCCAAATTCAATCGCAAATGCCTTTTACTTGACCCAAAACCAGCAACAACAATAACAACAACAACAATAGCAAAAACAACAACAGCAGCAGCAACAGTTGCAACTTGCAACTTGCAACTGCAACAAGGCGACGCCTGTGCCATGCAAAGATTTTTTTTTTTTTTTGGAAAGGGGGGGCGAGCCTACGAGTCACGCACTGGTCAACAAATATGCCCACACATACCTACATACATACAGATACAGTACGTATGTTAGATGTGCCACGCCCACTTTGCCAGCTAATTTGCGCCATACAAAGACATTGAATTGTTGTCAGCGCACAAAACAAAACACAACAAAACAAAACAAAGCAAAAAGCAGCAGAGGAAAAAAACACTTCAATATTTCAAGACGCACAGACAGAATCCCAAATAACAGTAAAGCATTGTTGCTGCAACAACAACAACAAAGACAACAACAAATTGTCCAAAACGCTTCACAAGCAATAAAAATAACAACCAAATCACGACCAGCAGTTACCCTGTAGTCAATTGCAACTAAAGCAAGTGCACTGAGCTTATCAATATATACAATAGACATACATACATATATCTATATATGTATATATGTATATACATATGTATATACATATGCTTCCATATATATACATATTTCAGAGACTTATATTTATGCTGCATATGCATGTATATATCCTGTTACATACATACACTAGCTCAATTGCAATATAGCCCATTGGAAGTCAATGCACGCGGTATAACAGCTCAAATAGCGACTGCTTGTGGGTGCACACAGCTCTCCTCTCCCTTCCTCTAATGCTGAGTCCGCTTCCACTAGCGAAGACATACACCCTCCACTCACTCTCGCTCTCTCCTGCTGCAAGCATTTGTCCATTTTGTGAACGAATAATGCGCGTGATATTGTATATATGTATATGTATGCATGTGTATATGTGTGTTTGTGTGTGCGCGCTTTAATGGTGGGAAAATATTTTTGCTGTGATTTGTTGTTGTTGCTTTTTGGTATTTTTTTTTTTTTTGCCGATTTTGGTTTTTGGTTTTTGGGGCCGCATTTGGCAGCGACTGCGCCGCAGGATCTTTTCGAGGTTTGGGCGCACGTTACGTATACGCAACGCAGCGCTTATGCAACACGTGGAAGCAAGGCCCAAGCAAAAGTAGTGCAAAAAAAAAAGTCAAGAAAGAGACACAGAAATACAAAGGCTAAACAAAAAATAGACAAACAAACAAACAGACAACAACAAATGTCACGACAGCACAAACAACTAGAAAAACGCTGCACTTAACGACAGCCAACAACAACAACATCAACAACAAAAACAAAAGCAACGTCGGCGGTTTTAATGATTAATTTTTTGCACGTACTTTGCCATGTAAAGCGCGCCACTTAAAGCTGGAACAGCGGAGAGTGGAGGGAGAGCATGTACATATGTGTGTGAGTGCCTGTGGAGAACGTCATGTTTGGAGAGTGCCGATTGCCCCTGTATCTATGCGTGTGTGTAGGCATGCTGTGTGTGTGTGTGTGTGTGTGTGCATAGTTGCCATTTGATCAAATTAATTAGTAGCAAAAGTCACAGTTTTTTTTTTAATATGTTTGCAATGAATTTAGCTAAGTTTTAATTAAAAAACATTTTTTTTAATGGAAATAGAAGCTAAATTATTCACGAGATGGAATAAAAAAAATATGTGCATATAC